CACAGGCCTGGCACTCAGGGGAGTGGGAGCTGTGGTCAGGACTGTGCTTCTACGGAACCTGCGGAAACAGCAGCGCACGCCCAGGGGACACTCGGCCGCCCTCCGGCTGCCCTCGGGGGCCAGGGCAGTGAGCTGGAGCCTGGATGACCGGAGCTCGCCGCTGTCCACAGGCAGAGGCAGCCAGGCTGGGCTGTTTCCCGCCGCCCAGCTCCAACCTTCTTACACTAAGCGCAGACCTCGGTTCAGCCTGCCCCACGTCTCGGGGGTGACAAGGACACCGACTTTGTCCTGGACAAACGGGCGTCAGGCCCGGCGCCCCCATAGCACGTGGCCCGGCCGTCGGGGCATCTCGTGTCCTCATCCACTACTCACAAGTCACCAGGGGAAGCGGCCCGTTCCCAGCTCAGGGCGCAGTCCCCCCATGGGCCTGATGCCATGGTGGCATCTCTTCGTACCCCGGTGCACACCCTTCCTGGGTGCAGGCAGGTTTCTGAGCGACCCCAGCAGACAGCGGCCTCCATGCCTTTGCCTGGCTGGGCCTCCTGCGAGAACAGCCCTCACCCCGCTTCCTCCCACCTCTGCCCTCTGAAGCCCTCCCCGCCCAGCCCGATGCCTCTCCCACGAGGCCCTGCACCCACGAGGCCCTGCACCCACGAGGCCCTGCGCCGCCTCCCTGGGCGCGTTTGCACATCCCGCCTCCACCCGCCTCGGTGCGAGCTCCCTCTCTGCACCTCAGAGCTCCCAGCACACGTGCCGGTCAGTCCAAGGACAGAGCTGGTCCCCGAGGCCCTTTGAGGTGAATCTGTGATTCAGAGCCACCAGCTCGGGGGCCGACTATGCCAGAGAGGCCACCTACTGAGGGGCCGGCTGGCACACCACGAGCTGACCCTTGAGGGGAGCTTCCAGCAGGTCTCATGGCTAAAATCCAAATGGAGGTTCATGTCCATGGCCAGAGAACAAGCGGTCAGTTTCTTGAGTGACCTTTGCGACTGGTCGTGTCCAGTCCAGAGGCCTCTCGCATCTGGTCCGGTACCTCACTGCCAGGCCCCCTGAAGCTCACGGCCGTTTCAGGATCTCAACCACACAGCCGAGGCTGCTCACCCGACACGTGTCTCTGCTGCCACAGTGACCAGCCTCGGTGGACTGTGGCCCCACGCAGGCAGGCCCTCACGTATTAGTGTGAAGGGCCACGCGGGTCCTCACTGCTCAGTGGCTGTGACCCCTGGATTACTGTCCCTTCAGCAGAAGTTGGTCCCAGAGTGGGCATGTACGGCAAGGCCAGGCAAAACGCCCCCTGCCCCCGTGGGACGGTGGCAGGCAGGGAAGCCATCTCTGGGAAGGAGAGAGGGAGGGAGGGAAACGACCCTGATTTGTAGCATTTGCCAACGTCCGTCCGTGGTGTAAATACTTTCACCGGGGCGGACTCCAAGCCAGCCCTGCGACATCACTGAATGTGAGAGGCGCCGAGCTCCGGCACATGGCGGAGCGGCCACCCGGCCAGGCGGCCCCAAGCCCCGCGGAGCAAGGAGCTGCCTCTGCCCCCGCCCCAGCCCCGCGTTCGCGCGCCTCTGGCCCCGAACCCAGCCGACCGGGATTTGGGGCCAGACACCCCCACGTCACAACCACAGCCCCAAGGAGAGACCATCTCCCGAGGGGCAGAGTCCCCAGACCCCCAGGGCTGTTGTCACGTCGCAGAATCACAGGAGAGAACACGCCCCAGACACCAGAGCAGTGACGCGCTCTACGGCTCTGCCCGTGTGGGCGTTTAATGCTTCCTCCGAAGCAAAGAGGAAAAACACGGGTCGACCTGTTCGTTTGCACGATGCTAAAACGCAGGCGCTTGGTCAACACTATTTGATGCTGAGAAAACACCTCGAAAGCGGATGCGTCCATTTTTATGCTACTTTTACATTTCTCAGGAAACAAAGACGCCTCTTTGGGTGGGTTTGTGATTCACGCCCCTCCCCTGTTTCCCCCAGGTGGAGCCAGCGGGTCCCTCGACCCGAAGTCCATGTACCGCAGGTCCCTGACACAGAGGAACCCCAGCAGCCGGAGGGGGGCCGCCCAGCACAGCTTCGCTGTCAGGTTTCCCCT